CTGCAGCTTCTTTGGTTTATTTTGTGCCATGCTACTCATTGAGGGTTCTTCGCAATATTGGAGCTTGAGGAGATGTCTTCCAGGACAGCGGAATGGAGCAGCAAGATGGTTTGACTTCCTGACATCCCATCTTTTGCAATTGGGATTTGAAAGTCTAGCATGCCTTCTGGCAATGTTTCGCCACATGAAGAAGAACGTGGTGGTGCTGGCGCACGTTGATGACACGGTGATGGCTGGAACAGAGGAAGTGCTGAAATGGGCAAATGAGGAGTTGAAGAAAGTCTTCACTATGAGCGGAGGTGAACTTTTTCCACAAGAGCAAAGCCCAAAAGATCCAGTGAGGTTCTTGAAGAAGCGCTACTACTTTTGTGAACAAGGGGTGATAGTGAAACCTCATAGAGGTACATTCCAGCTTTGGTTCATTTGTATGGACTTGAAGAACGAAAAGAACGTGCAACGCCAGATATCGCCATCGACCGTCTTGAAGGTGAAGCAGCTGACCAGACAGAGAAGAAAATGTTCAGAAGCGCCTTGGGAACACTTCTTTATCTTTCCCAAGACCGTCCAGATGTCCAGAACTCGGTGAGGAATCTCGCTCAGTTCATGAGCAATCCAACGAAAGAGGTATGTGAGAAAGGATTTCAGCAAGCTGGATGAGCTCTACGACAAGCGCAATGAAGTAGAAGATGGACATATGCTTGAATGCTTCACAGACAGCGACTGGGCAGGTGACCGCAGCTCAGAAAAGCACAAACGACGCTCGACGTCCTCAGTGATGATCTTTGTGGACGAAGGTTTGGTGCAATCTTGGAGCAGAACGCAAAAGTCAATTTGTCTTTCAAGTTGTGAAGCAAACTAACAGCATGTGTTGGAGGAGTGGCAGAAGCACTTCATTTAGCAGAAGTTTGGAGGTTCCTATGTTGAGAGACATGCAAGGTGGTGGCAGTGACGGATTCGTCTTCATGCCGAGAATTTGTGCAACGCCTCGGTGTGTGGCGGATGAAGCACATCGAGACGAAGCTGCTTTGGATTCAGGAGGAGGTGAAGAAAGAGACCCTCTCCATCACAGGAGTGGGAACCCTTCTGAATGTGGCAGACCTCAATACCAAGAAGCTGACAAGAAACCGACGCAACTTCCTGATGTACCTTCTTGGCTTCGAGGCTTCGTGGAGGAGGATGAGAACAATGGTGGCTATGCGACGGTTGGCGAAGAAGAGTTCAACGAGTGAGTTTCTTCGCAAGAAGGCAACAGCTCAGAGGATGAAGCAGGTGAGAAGGACACTTCTACAAAACCTTGTGGATGGTGTGAGACCAGCACCTGTTCCGCGCCAAATGGTGAAAGCAGTGACATTGCTGAGCATGTGTTGAAACTCTTGGTACAAGTGAGATGACCAACACGGTGGAGAACGAGATCCAGCAGGAGGCCATGACATGGCTTGGTTGGTGGGAGATGGACTATAAGTCCACTCTACGTGTTTTTTTTTTTTGAACTTCACCTTTCTCTTTACAGGGATACTTGCTGGAACACTTTTGAAAGAGCGCATGATCACGTGGTGGAACAAGTTGAAAGAACTAGAAGATGAGATGCAGAGGAAGAGGCGCGACATGCACCAAAGAGCTCTGGCAGAACTACATGCAAGAGACTATGTCCGACAGACAACGCAGATGCTTGAGATGTACAAAGGACATGTGAGTGATGACCAAGTTCAACCACCGCAGCTTGAACCCCTTCGAGTCAACAGAGTTCAAGCAGCCTATGACCGCTTCTTGATAGCTCGAAGCGAGACACGCGTGCGAGAAAGGAATCCACCAGAACATGATCAACAAGGAGTTGATGGAGATGGTGACGTGCACATGAGCACTGAAGAGGAGAACATTACAATCTACGATTGGTCTCCCACTCAAGGACGAATGGTGAACTACAGGATCCTTGAGAACTCCAGTGACGCTTCAAGTGGAGAGAGCTACTTCCAGAGGACAAGAGATGGAAGCAGCTATGCACGCCGCTACAGGCCTACAAGTTCAGAAAGAGAAGGTGGTATGACAAACAGTGATCCTGAAGATCGACCAGCAAGGAGGAGCAGCCCTGAGCCACAGGAAGAACCTGTGGACCCTGTTCCCAACAGGTTTGAGGATTGGGGTTACCTCTACACCTTGATCCCGCAGATTGAGAAGATCCGAGTTGAGAGGATCTATGAAGCTGGTTTTTTCCCTGAGTATTTGTCCAAGCAGTTCCTGCAACTTTTGGCCGCAAAGCACAACCCCAATGAACCAGGACTGCAGTTCGACTACGCCTTGATGTATGACATCTACGACAAAAATTAATTTGGTGAGTGGAGAGTACGGCTAAACATGGGACGCAATAGTCGAAGCATGGCACAACAGGGACGAAGACAGAGACCACCTGATTTTTACAGCTGCTGAACTCGAAGAGTAGCATGCTTAAGGCCACAAAAGGTGTCCTACGCAAGGCAGGGTGTTAGACATTTTGAATACACCTGATGTACATTTGATTGTGTATACAACCGCCCGCAGTGGCTCAGCATCCATAGAAAAAAGGAGCGATGAAGCTGCCAAACAGTTTGTTCCAACTTTGACTTTCCATTGCAAACATAATGTTGTTGAAAGGAGTGTGGGTGTATTGATCCAATTACCCCGATTTTTTGATAACAATATATTCAACAGATGTTTTCGAGCAAACAAAACCACATTGCAACATGCAACGTCATGTTGTTGAAAGCAGGTGCTTGTAGTTAAACATAAAACCGATTGGTTCTGCAAGAATGGACGTTTTTGTGTTTGTGTTGGACATGCTTGTTGAAAGCAACGCATTTGAACAAATGCAATCCAAGCGTTTTTTAATGACCACCTCAACATGGCCAACAAAAACAATATCCAGCAAACGCGTGTTTCCACCATGTGCCAGTTTGGACGTGGATTTCTCAGGTGCAGAGGACTGGCAATCCGAAAAACTTGGTGGTGCTGTTTGGTGTGGTGCCTTGTGGTGTAGTGGTTTGTTGCGAATTGCCATGTGGTAACTTGTGAGATGATGACATCAAATGCAATTTGTGATGACAGGACTTCAGAAAACGTGTTTAAGGAAGGGCAAAGATCGTTCACAAGTTGTGCTAATCGGGGCACGCGAATTTTTTCTACAGAATAAACGGTTAAACATAGGCCACAAAGAAGAGTGGCTGGATAAGATTGAATCATAGTTCTTTGTTGATTGCCAAACTGTTTCGCAGATGTTTCCACCAAGTGTGGTTTCGATGAAGTTCCTGGCGACCAGATTGGTGCCTGGTTTTCGGTCAACCCGCAGTCCGAAGACATAGTTCTTGTTTTTCAAATGGTTCCAGGGTTATAAAAATTTTGTGGCAGTGTTTTGGTTATAAGAACAAAAATGCGGAGGTGAACATGTTCGATTCACAGGTTGCGTGCACAGGCATGTGAAATATAGTTCAAGACAGTCTCTGAAACCAGATTTCGAGAGATGCAGCCTACAGCAGTTCAGAGAATAGAACCAACAAAATCCTGCACTCCAACTCATCAGTTGCTGGGCCATACTGGTCATACAGGTCGCGGTTTGCCATTCGTTAGCCCAGCGCTTGCGCCAGCCAACGCCATGCTGGGCTTTCATTGGAGCTTCATCGCCTTGCTGGGTTTCCAGACAGTTCCCGCATGCTCCCGCGAGGTGAAGCTCTTGCCATACTTGTTGGGAACGGCTCCGAGGCCAGCCAAGTGGCTGGCGCTGAAGAATTCCAATGAAAGGTGCCGAAGCTGAAGACCGAATGAATGAAACAAAGAACCTCAAACAGTCCCATGCACCAACCTGTCTTGGGCTGATCTGTTAGTCTTTGTGACCTTGATGGTAGATAGATTTCCGTATGTAACGAGAAAAACCCAGACATCAAGAAGGTCGGGATGGTCACGCATGTCCATTCAGGAAGAAATTTCGGCAAGCCACATGCTCATTTGCCTCGATCGGCTTCATGAGCAACCTGGCGCGACTGACCTTCATGATGCGAAACATCGTGAACTCCTGCCCTCAGTCGGCAATTGATACTGCATCCTACCAGCCTGGGGAAGAGGCCACACTTCCGGTTAAAGTTACTTGGCTCGATGCTTGGCAATTGGAAATGACTAAAAAAGCCGCGCTGAACGGCTGTGGCTCGGCCATCACTGGGACCCGGAACCCACATGGGAGGACTTCATTGACATTGATGACATTGTGAAACGCAATCAGAAACATTCACAACACCACACAGTGCAATCCCCTGAAGACAGCCGAATCTTGACATGATCATTTGGCATATGAATTATGACTTCTTCACGGTGGAGCAGTTTCCAATGCTTGATGTTTGTGTCACGTGGGTCTTTCGGTGACGGTGAGTCTTTCCTGATTTCCTGGTTTTCTTTGCTCATCGATGTGTGACCCTCTCTGGTATGCTTGGTTTGCTTGTGTTCCTGTGACCCAATGACAATGAACGCACGGCCACGGGGGAAGGTAGATCAAAGGAACCCGGTTTGCCATCGAGCCAGGTTTGCCTGCTGAGTACCACCGCCTTGTTTGCGGCTCTGGCTCAACTTGCACGATCCCTAACGGTCCTGATCTCCACCTGCGAACGCACTGCCACAGTGGATGAGGCCAGGGAAAGCAGATGAAGCAGCGCCCACTGTTGCAGGGGTTGATTCTACGAAACATTTGTCTATGCCCACACACCACCCAAACTGGATACCTACAAGCACAGCTACCAGGCATGGGGGCACGCACCCGAGCAACCGGCTCTTAAGGGCTACAGCTGCTCACACGCACTACCCCCACTCTGCGGCTCAAGTAAGCAGAGTGCATTGTGTCCACACCACTGGGCCGTCGGGCATGAGCCACCGCACCGACTGTTAGGCACCCAGCTACATGAATTGAAAATGCATCTGTAGCTTGCCACACCCTGCACACCGCAGTAGCTGTCATGCCTTCACAGAGCACCCCGATGATTCCATCCAAGAACATCCACACAAGCGTAATGTTGGGCTCATAACCTACGAAACACCTGTCTGTCTATGCCCACACACCACCCAAACTGGATAGCTACAAGCACAGCTACCAGGCATGGGGGCACGCACCGGGGCAACCGGCTCTTAAGGGCTACAGCTGCTCACACGCAGTTTCAATGCATTTTCGGCCGAGTTTCCGCAGCTTCGTTTCAACAGCTACACATGTGCTGCATCTCGCATGCTCGGTTTTCAGACACCGCCATTTTGACCGCTTTGCGCAGGGCTGCGCCGCGTCGATTGAGACCTTGATGGTGCCCGCCGTGCTCTTCATCAACGGCGGCATCGCCATCTCTGCAGCCTGCGACAAAGGACCGACTCGCTCCCCTCGGTGCGCCGAAGAGAACGTCGCTCCTGGAGACTCGGGGGGCCTGGAGACTCGGGGTGCAACGCTTTTGACAACCGGGTGTTTGAGCGGTGTTGAGTGCACCGCTCTGATCAGTCAAGGCGAGACACAACAGTGACGGAATTCTCAAAGAGAACACTTGTCAATACTACAATCAGGTGGAACCCTAAGACTCCCACAGTGTTTCCTTGGGCGTTTTGCAGTTCGTGACAGCAGCTCTTCGTTTGGAGGAGCTATTGACCTTCCGAAAGAGATTGAGCCGGGGCGACGTTTGATGAATCCATTGGATTTGCCTGTGAAGCGTCAATGGGACATTGCTCAATGTACAGTGGATGCCATTGACGCGACGCGCTCGGTGGCGGCGATAGGCCGGGCGAGCCGGGCGGAGCATGGGCCGAGCTGGTTCCAAAAGCAAACGCAGAGTCCACAGTGCCATTCTTTGAGCAGCGAGTTACGAGCCACTTAGGGAAATGGGCCGAAAACTGGTTGCTAGCCAGCTTGATGCAAACTTCTGGATGTCAAGCTTCTTTGCTACAATCTTGCATGCGTCGTTGGTCGTTGTTGGGTTCCAGGCCAGTGTTCTGAAAGGCACCATTCAATCCTCCAAAACCCAACTGGTGCCCTGCTCCAGAAAACCATCCGGAGCTCCTCATTTTTGACTGTGGAGGCTTGTCCATGGACGCGGTGGCACGGAATTGCCCGGTGAACTACGCGACGCCCTTCACGGAGGAGCTCAGCCGGACTGCCTGCACGGTGGACGTTTCAGTGCTGCTGACCTCCTTTACAAGACGGGCCGTCGCGCGCGTCGCTTTGGGTGGGAAGGGGGTTCCCAGGTTTGCATGCGCAAGAATGGGCCGTGCTCCGTCCATGGCCTGGTTGCCAAAGGGGCTGTTCCGCCGAATCACAAGCTGGATGGTATGGGATGGTGAGTTCATCTCTTCATGGGATGAAATATAGTTGTTGTGGTCCGGGTAGGATGACCATCCCCCCACAATGAGGGATTTGTTGTTTGACCATCCCCCTCCCCTGGTTTTGGGGATGACCACTTCCATTCTATTGCACCTTTAGAATTTAGAATTGCTTGGATGTGCCCAGAGCGCCAGTGGGGCGCTCTGTGAACCGATTCCGGAAACGTTTGTGTTTTTATTGTATTTTTTTGAGCGACAGAAAGCGCCTTGCAGGACTGGTTTTCTATCTCGCTCTGGCAGTGAATCACTGCTCCCCAGAACCTGAGAGAGATGCCATTTGCCTGGTGGGCGTGGCGGCCATTGCTGCTGGAGGGACCACCACATCTGCCGGTGCCGCGGGGACCCATGCGACCTGCAATCTTGGAAGAAAGAGGCAATTTATTCAAAGGCTTGAAGAGATGCAGGAGGGACCTGAGATCTGTGAGTGCTGTGAGTGCTGTGTTACATGCAGGAGTGCCTTGCAAGGGTTACAACCACGCGAACAAAGTATACAAAGTGAAAGCCAGACCAGCAGTTGCCGCAAACACAACCACTTGTTCAACTTCCTTTGACCCTCCCAGTGTGTTTTGATAGGCCAATGAGACACTGCCTGAAGAAGATGCGGCTGCCGCTGCCGCTGCAGATGCCGCTGTCAACAACGCGCCCTTCAATATCATTCGGCGGTTGGTGAAGCGAAGGCGGCTCAGAAGTCTAAATCGGAGCCGAGAAATGGAGCGAATTGATGAGATCTGGCTGAAGCTGGGATACAACCTCTCAGATGCAAATGCAAGTTGGTTGAAGGAGGACAGCAACCCGGAGATCTTAGAGATCCAGGCCGAGGCTGAAGACTTTCGAAGGACATGCCTTGTTTTTGGCCTAAAGAGGGCAGGGGTTCGGCTTTGAGAAGGGGATTCAGCATGTTCCTGTGTGTTTTTTAACTTTCGGGCCCCCCTCTCCAGGAATGTGGCGTCATCTCTGACCGCTTCGCAGCCGGAATGGGCTCCTGGCATGCCATTGAAGGTGCGGGGTAGGGATGTTTTGGGACTCGATGGCTCCTGGATACTCTTTTTCTGCCTGTTCGTAAACGGAGGGTTGATTGAGGCAGTCCCAACTCTTTTTCCATTTTCCCAGACTCTGAACAGGTCCCATTCAGTCCCAGTAATAACACACCCCTGCTTTATGTGCAGTGTGACTTCATGCAGGAAAGCAATAGCTCTGGTGAAGTTCTCTGCACGACTGATTCTGCATCTCTCGGGTGTCTTGCGCAAGAACCACGTGGAGTTTTGGAAGAAAAACAAACCACCCACTCGCTCGCAGTTGCTCGAATTCCTTATTTGTTTCGCAAGAAATCGATTCTCTCGGCCAAGAAATCCGTTCGATTTCATCCACTGGTCCTTCAGTGACGGATTTCATGCGTGACAATGGCCGAGCAGACAATGGCCGAGCAATCAGAAGGGTAGTTGGTTTGTTGAACGGACGTAGTTGGGGAATTTGAGGTGTGCTGTTTGGATTACAAGAGCTATCTGATACATGTTAGACTTTAGAGATGGCCGTCCGCCCGTCCAAGTGTGTTTGCCTCGTGTTTCAAGGCTCGGCTTGCTTGGTCTCGCTACAAGACCTTCTAGCTAATAGTGGGTCAGTCTCTTCATGGGAGTCTTTTCGAAAAAGTCCCCCGAGGCCAACTGGCCAATCCAACCTTCGACTCGCTCGACCGCCACACCGAGGTGGCGCAACGAGGTTTTGGGGGAGCCTATGACGCTGGAAGAAGATGCCTTGGCATGCCAAGCGAGATGTTCCGGGAGACTTGGCACGGTTGAAGCCGCTATTCGCACGCTGGTTTGGGAATATCATGAAATGCTAGTCAGAGCCATGGTTGAGCTAGGTGCGAGAACCTTTGGAGGCTTGGGCGAACCCTGGGTGCCTCGACTGTTGATTGGCATGAAATGGCTTCGGGCAGCAACAGACAGCGGATTCAATTATTTCTCCAAAGCCCTGCTTTTGTTCTGGGGTCCAGTTTTCTGGCCTTATCCAAGCTGGAGAAGGTCAAAACCGAACAAACAAGTGGTTGGGGCGAGGAACCACTTCTTCAGACGGTGTTCCGTCACCACGCATATCCCCTCGCTTTATATAACCAAGCAATGACTGGCGCCTTCTTGCAAGTAGGGTCATTTCCGTGATTTTGGCTCTTTTCGTGCCCCCTTCTTTATCTCTGTGGTCTCTGGGATTCGTGTGTCACAACTGTCTTTTGATCCGGCATTTTCAGGATTCGAAGCTGCGGGTCTTTCTCCTATTGGACGCCTGGAGGTCATTGCCACATCCTGGGGCACCTACTGATGCCCAAGGGTGTGCACCAAACAACGCCTGGATGGGTTTCTGGGCCTCCAGTGTGCCACCCGCAGCAGTTGCTGCCCGCCGCGCGCAAGTTGGCCGAGCAACATCGAGAATGCTATCATTCCCATGCACTGTCTCTTAGCGGAGTCCGTCGGCCGGCGTCCGTCGCCCTTTGAAAGACATGAGTCCGTCGGCCTTTTCGTGTTTTGATGTCTTGACCCACCATGTCTTAACACAAAAGTCATGAAAGAAATTGTGCAATTCTTTCTGACATCCATGTGCCTTGTCTCTTTGAGATTGGCACAATGGATTTCAATTCGGCGTTCTATCCAACGCAGCTCCTTTAGAAGGCGAAGACCTATGCGTTCGTTCGGTACTCCCTAACAAAGTGCCTGTGACTCAGACCTGGCTCATATGAATTAGGCACCTGTCATATGAATTTCAATACCTGCTCCCGAGGCCAAAGCACCTGCTCCCTAACAAAGGCTGTGATTCTCATATGCATTTCGGTTTCACTGAGTTTCACCCATGTTTCAGCTCCAAAAGAATCGAATCTTCTGGAAGCAAACAAGGACAACGGTCACCGTCTTCCGAAGCCAGGTACCAACCGCTCCTCTCAGATGTGGAACCTCAAGTCCTTCAGGATGCCCTGGACTGCCAGAGCTGGTGCGAGCAGGAGAGAGTTTGAGCAGCTTTCCAGCGACTTTTCGGGGACCACTGGTAGAAAAAGAAAGCAATCTTTTCATGCTGCTGTTTGGCTGTTCACTTACTCAATCAGTTATCTTGTAGCTGTTCAATTGTTTTCTAGGTAGATATACGATGATATACACGTTTACAAGTGCTTCCGAAGAAAAGGATAAAAGGGGGAACTCCAAGTCGGGTGCCACATGAGGACTTTCCCTGATAAAAAACCTGCGATGTTGGGACTTTGATTTCGATTTGTTCTGCAGCCGGTGTTGGACATCATCAACACCGGTGTTGGTTCCAACACCGGCCAAACAGTGGAGTTTGACCACGTTGCCTCCCATGTTTGGACACAAACTGGTTGGCAGGAACCGCGCTGCGCCTTTTTTTCCTACTTCGCCCTTTCAGGGCTCTGCCATTTGGCGCCAGCCAATGCGACAAAGCTCCAGCCAGTGCTGAATTTTGTGGGAGGGCCCAAGGTGTGCGAATATGAATTCAAGACCCAAGATGGTGAATTCACCCAAGATGGTGGTGACACGCAGTGGCCTATGTTGGGACAATGTACCCTTGTAGGCTTTCTTGCTGTGTTGATTATTAGTGCAGTGATTTGTCAGCCCCATAAGGAGATTTTTGGGTTCAACTTTCATCGCATAGGACGTATGGCCTCGCCATACGCTGCTGCGCCAATAGTGCCTGCTGTTGAGGAAGATGCATAGCCACAAAGGCACTGTCCCCAAAGGCACTGGTCTTGTGCGGAAAAAGCAGCAAATGTGAGTGAAAGCCATGCCTTCTGCCATTTTGCGGGTGAGTCAAAACCAAACGAAACCAAAAACAAGGGATATTGGAGGCCATCGCACCCCAGGGTGGAGGCCATCGCTTCTAGGGTGCAGGGGCCAACAGTAGACCGTGGCTGGGCGACACCAGCAGCTTAGCTCACTCGATGGCTCACTGGATAGCTCCCCCAAGCGAACGTGTGCCCAAACGGCGCGGTCACGATCTCCGTTGTGTTTGGCCTCAAGCTTGCTGGTGTTGTGTAGTTTGCTGGTGTTTTTGGGAATTCTTGGCAAAGTCCTCAGTGCTGGTCTCAAGGGGCGCAGAGAATTTGCAGAAAGCTGATGGCAGATGACTAGACACCTCTATTCTTAGACACATCCAAGATGTTGGTGGGTCGTCGTCTCAGAAGACAGCTCCTAGAACAAGTTTGGCTAAAACATCAACACCTCCGGAGAGCTACACCAAAAATTTTCACACATCCCTGACGGCCCTTGCATGAACTGTGATCGCTCCATTTCATCCCTGGCAGGAAGAAAATGTTTCACCTTTGACCTTTGGGTGTGTTTGTCCATTGCAGTCTTGTAGAGTGGGAAGCGCTCTTAGGAGCAGCTAGCGGCAAGCCAGCTGTAACAGGTATATAGGAAAACCCTCAGCCTCCACGAAGGCATGTATCTACCGTCTATCCACTGCCATAACTTAACTGTGATGGGCCAGATCCTATGTCGAAGTGATTTGTCCGTTCGTGACAGGTCGAGTTTTTAGGAGATCAGGATTCAGGATGAAGCTGAAGCCCTTGAAAACACGCCGCATGTCCAGCTGTTCCGTCTCTGGATGGACAGATTGAACCGGATAAGGCCATGCAGATAGTGGCACCCTCCAGATTTCTGGATGGCTGGGCAGCCCCAGAAGAGAGAAGGTTCCTGGGGCACTGTGGTGAAGCCGTGGATGAAGCCTCACACAAGAGACCAACGAAACATGAGTTTCAAGGACAGGTCCTTAGCCTGCCTCAGCTGTGGCCTCTCACTAAGAATCTTTGGGTTGAAATGGTGGCTGTCCTCGAATCATGACGAGGCGACTACGGTCCATTTCTTTCTCGTACGTCACACGCTCGTCCTAGAACGATTGCGGAACCAAGGTGTGGTTTTCGCGGTGTTCTTGCTCTTTGTCTCTGGCGGTGGTCTCTACATGTTCAGCGAGTTCCACAAGACCGCTTGTCGGGAGTTGCAACTGGACGAAGAGAAAGGAAGAGTCTCAACACTGTGATCCATGAGCGATTAGATCCTAATCGTCCTAATTTGTCATCTCTAAGTTAATTTGATCACTGTAAACGTGTTTTTTGTCACATCATTTTTGTGCCTGAAGCTGTGTGGTAAATCTGGCTTTGTTTGTGCCAGCTGCAGTCCAAGAAGTGAACTGAATCCAGGGCAAGCCCTCAAACATGATGGGATAAACTAGTCTTCAATGTTTGCGAACCATTGTCAGGACTCTTGACACAAATCTGCAGGTCTACCGGTCTACCTTTGTTTAAAGCTGTGCAACCTGCCGTGAGGGTTTTGCATGACAATCCAATCATCCAGCTGACATAACGCATCCTCTGGGTGTCTGACGCGGCCGCTTTGACATCAAAAGCGGTTGCCCTGCGTCTCTAGTCTAGTAGTAATCCTCAAGTTTGTATCTAGTCTAGTAGTAAT